AGCAACAGCTGCAGCTGCATCATCAGCAAATACAGTTGCAGCTGCCGGGGTCAAGCAATGCTTCAGATGCTGCAGCAGCAGCAGCAGCAGCAGCAGCAGCAGCAACTGCTGCAGCTGCAGCAAAGGTTCGATTCAGTGCTGCCTTCAACAGCTAGCATCAGCAGCAGCACGATGCCGCCAACTGTATCTGAAATGTTATCTTGCATGAACTCTCCTGCTGCTTCTGCTGCTGAGTTGCTGCTGCAGCGGGAGCAGCAGCTGCAGCAGCAACTGCAGCAACAACTGCAACAACAACTACAACAGCAACAGCAGCAGCAGCAGCAGCAGCAGGAGCAGCAGCAACACCATGCTGATCTTCTTCTTGAGGCTCAGCAACATTCCGATTTGCTGCTGCATGCATCGCTGCAGCAGGACATGCAGCAGCAGCAGCAAGAGCTGCTGCAGCAAGAGCTGCTGCAGCAGCACGAGTTATTGCAGCAGCAGCATGAGCTGCTGCAGCATGAGCTGCTGCAGCAGCAAGAACTGCCGGAGCAGCAGCATGAACTGCTGCAGCAGCAAGAGCTGCTGCAGCACGATCTGCTGCGAGGAAGGCAGCAGCTGCTGCTGCTCGGTCACAAGCAGCAGCAGGATGCGCTGCTGCAGCACGAGCAGCAGCAGCAGCAGCAGCAGCAGCAGCAGCAGCAGTTGCTGCATCTACACGAAACAGAGCTGCTGAGAGACAGTCCCCTCGAGGTCCAGCTGCAGCACTTGCTGCAGGGCCAGCAGCAGCAGCAGCAGCAGCAGCAGCAGCAAGACCTGTTGGAGCTGCAGCTGCGGAGACAGCTGGAACACCAGCAGCAGCAGCAGCAGCAGCAGCAGCAGCAGCAGCATGAACTGTGCCGCGATCCTTTAAGCAGACATGAAGGTGTCAGCCGCAGCACGACACCTCACACAACAGCTGCTGCAGCAGCAGCAGCAACTGCAGCAGCAGCAGCAGCAGCAGCAGCAGCAGCAGAAGGGCGGTCATATCTCCACGACTTAGATTTCTTTACTGGAGACGACCCCCAGCTGAAACAGCAGCTGCTAGCGCAGCAGCAGCAGCAGCAGCAGCAGCAGCAGCAGCAGCAGCAGCAGCTTGACTCCCTTCAAGAGGAGTTGCTGCAGCAACAGCAGCAGCAGCAACAGCAACAGCAACAGCAGCAGCAGCAGCATGTTTGTTCCGCCAATCTGCTTGCTGCTGCTGCTGCTGCTGGGGACCGAGTTGCATTTGCTGCTGCAGCAACAGCGGGAATGGGCTTAGGGAACAGCAGCAGCAACAGCAGCAGCAGCAGCAGCAGCAGCAGCAGCAGCAGCTGCAGCAGCAGCGCGCATGCAGAAGAATTTCTTCGGTTGCAGCCAGCAGATGGAGCTGCTTCTAAGTGGGGTGAGAGAGGGACAGCAGCAGCAGCAGCAGCAGCAGCAGCAGCAGCAGCAAATGCTGCTGCTGCTGAAGCAGATGCATCGCGCGCGCTGCAGGTCTTCTCCGCCCCCCCCCTTGCTGGCAGCACAACAGCAGATACTGCTGCTGCTGCTGCTGCTGCAGCAGCAGCAGCAGCAGCAGCAGGTGTATCTCCGCTTGCTGTCTCTTCTGCTTTGCCGTCAGAAGAATCCCTGAAGCTTCCTGCTGCTGCTGCTGCTGCTGCTGCTGCTCTCGAGGAGCTGCGTCGAAGACCGCAGCAGCGCCAGCAGCAGCAGCAGCAACGACAGCAGCAGCAGCAGCAGCAGCAAGAGCAGCAGCAGCAGCAGTTTAGCTACGACAATGTCGTAGCTGCTTCAAGCTTCATCCGTCCCGAGTCCAGTGCTGCAGCAGCAGCAGCAGCAGCAGCTGCTGCTGCTGCTGCTGCACCAGGTACTGTAAGGCGTGTGAGAAGGAATTACATAGAGCCGCAGCAAATGCTGCTGCAGCAGCAGCAGCAACAGCAGCAGCAGCAGCAGCAGCAGCAGCAGCTAGATGTTATCGATGCAGCAAGCGAGTTTGGTTTGTCTAGTTTATCTCTCGTAGATAGAGCAGATGTATGTGCTGCTGAAGCAGCAGCAATATCTCTGCCTGCTGCTGCTGCTGCTGCAGCAGCAGCAGCAGCAGCAGCGCCACAACCACAACCAACGACAACAGCAGCAGCAGCAGCAGCAGCAGCAGCAGCACTGCAGACAGCTCGAGGGTTTCCTGCTGCTGTACCCACACCCTCAACCACCTGCTGCTCTGCTGCTAGCTTTCCTTCTCATACTACAAGCAAGCAGCAGCTGCTGCAGCAGCAGCAAGGGGATCAGTGGCTGCTGCAGCAGCTCATTCGTATGAAGCAAGAAATAGATTTCCTT